AGTGGTATTTTTGCAAATAAACACGCCTAAATGATTTTTTTGCAAATGTGCACATAAAAATGACATTTTTGTAATTTCTCCGGCTAACGGCTCCAAATTAAGCAAATGAATACTATAATTGTTTTTTCCATCATTATTCACACACAAAAATGTCTATCACATCCATAAAGCTAAGGTTCGCAATCATAATTTCGAAGACAAATGAGAATATGCGACGACAAGTGGTCGTCCGTTACTCTGACCGAATTGGAAAAACAACGTATATATTGATACGAATCTTAAACTTTTAACAAAACTAAATTGCGAGAAAGAGTCTTTGGCTAGAAACAGTTTTTAAAAAATGAATTTATTAACCAAATTTTGATTTCTTCATAAAATTTGGCACTCAAAATAAATATAGTAGAGAGAACCAACTGGAAAAAGCTCATTTGGATCATACTTTTTCTCTGGAATTCCATGTATCAAAATTATATTATCCAACAAAAAACACCGAAAAACCGACACATAGTCTAAAGACAAAAGCGAAAAACTATAGCTTCTGAGAAATGATAATGGTGCTTCCTTCTGATAGATCTTGAGTCTTGAACCGACCCTCCTGCATCAAGAAACCGAATCAGGATCCATGTTTGACTCACAGAAATTAAGAAACAGATACTGGAATTATACATTATATAGTATCCAACCCTTCAAATATATAATGGCCTAAGCTAACATGATTAACAAAACACAGGAAAGACGCACAAAATGGCTATTCGAAACTTAACGGTAATAATTATAAATGCTAAGAAATGAGATGTAAAATGGGATTATGAATCGATACTAACTTGGCAATATTAAGCTAAAAGTATTGATGTTTAGATTTACCTCATATGTTGCTTGGGTACATGAAGACTCTGACTTTAGCACCCTGAGAGTAACACAACAGATACAAATGATAAGTCACATAAGTAAAAAACACTAAAAAACATCCAATTAATGAAGATGTTTTCCAAGAAAATGAAGTACCATGGACTTTGGTGGTAGATTTGAAGTGAACTTAGCGCGAACAACGCCACTGTTACCATGAGGCCTAGCAACTTTTCCCCAAATGCAACGGTAGTGCGAACCATTCTTCTTTGTCTTTGCTTTGTAGATGTAAGCCATACGCTTTCCCTTGTACCAAGCAACCTCCTCTGTGGTGTTCACACCTTCAATCTGGACGAGAGAAGTGTTGGGGTATTGGTTCGACTTCGACCTAAAAATTAACACAATATTGAGTAATCAAGCTTCAATTCCTTTCATACAAAGCAATCAAACCATCAAACAAGTTCTTAAAAGTTAAATCTTTAGCAAATTGCATATAACAGCACAAAATGCATCATTTTGAGAACCCCAAATCAAAACAAATTGAATAATATTACACATTGACTTGATATATGCGAGCATATTTAGGCTACAACAACACAAACAGCAAAATCAATGCTTGTAGAAATCGTATCAGTGACTACAAAACCAGTAGATAATTGATGAAGAAATAATCTTTGTTTATAACCAAATACAATAAGATAATATTCAAATCCCATAAACTCAGAAATATTTGCAACATCGAATTCCAAAAAACCTAAGAAATCAAAAAACGCAAGAAGGAAAAATTCGAAAGTACCTCTTGTAACCGAGGACAGTTCCTCGAACATACAATCTGCAAACAGCAAAACACACAGATTTGGTCAGACAAGTGCAAATTCGAATCGGAGATTGAGGTGAAACAGAATAGAAATCAGTTCATATTCGAAACCGATTAATTATTACCTAACTCTCTCTCCTTGACGTCCCTTCATTTTCAATCCTCTGCAACTGTCTTCTTCCTCTTGCCTCCCTTTTATGCCGGCGAGCGAACTACAGAGCAAAACCCTAGCTTTCGTTTTTAGGTCAACTAATATATATATTAGCTCACAAACAAAACTCTATTGGGCCTATTTGTGCCTTTCTCAAACTGTTGGGCCCAAAATATAAATAAAACTTGGCCCAAAAAGTGACTATTGTTATTGCAGGAACAATGTAATTAACCGGAGTAACCATAAAAAAATGAGTTTGTGTTCATATTAAATTATTACAGTAACAATGTAATTAACCAGAGTAGGAACCATATACCAAATTTGAAATTTCTCTTATTTTTTCATTTTCATCATTTCGTATCCGATTTACCAAACCAAATAGTAGAAGGAAAAGTGGTTTTGCTGATTGAACCGAATTGACTCTAAACCAAACCGAATAAACGGTTTAGAAATTTTCATTCAGTTTTAAGGCACTACAAGAGTAACAAACAATATTACAACTTTTTGTTTTTGGTATAAAACGAAGAATACAAAAGTAGAGAGAACATTTTTTTCAAACATCAGCAAAAACATGGAAGTTTTTGGAATCAACAGAGATGAGTCTAACCGCAGCAATTGCAGCAGCAAGAGACATTAACCCAAAGACACATACATTAAGCCAATGCCATAGCTTTTGAGCAGAACTTAGCTTATTGTTCATAGCTACAAGATACATGTGATTAGCTAATATGAATGTTAGAGGGAAAGTGCTTATCGCTCCCGTTAGGCTCATGAAATCTCCAAGAAACGGTAATAGCGCTGAGAGAAGCGTGCTCACCGCGATGTAGCTTCCTCGTGCTACCGTTCTAAACAACAGATTCTTCAGTGCCAATGGACTTCCTTTGATTCCAAACTTTGTATCCATATACTCATAAGACGGACTTGCGAAAATCTACGAAAAAGAGAAGGAAAAAAAACGGTTTAGGCTTGCGGTTTAAGACGCATAGTGTATGTGTGTGTTTTTTTTTCTTTTCCAAATGAAACCACAATCTTTAACATTTTCAAGAAAATTATGCGGTTGTAATAATGTAAACGCAATGTGAAATTGACGTTTGAAACAATCGAGGTCTAAATAGCGGTTGAGGAAGAGAAACTTACATGTAAAGAGATAACGGATTGGAGAAAAGCCGAAATGTTAGCAAGAGCTTTAACCCAGAGAGGTCCACTGACGCTGTTTAACAGATAAGTCGATGTCGAGGAACCGTAAGCCCAATAACCGATGAATGTAACTGCGTACATGGGTAAAACACCAGCAGTGAATTGAAAGTACAGAGCCTTCATCATGTTTTTAACCACTGGTTGCTTCACTGTGGCCTAACTTTTACAAAAAGATTAGTGTCAAAAACAGAGAACGAAAAAAATGATTCGAATGAGCATGGATATATATGACCGATGAGACTGACCTGTATTTCCGGGAGCATTCCCGTGTTGAATGCGAAAACAAGATTTGCTGCTGCTCCTGTTATGGTAAAGAGTTTGTCTATTGATGATCCTTGTATGGTGTAATCTCTTTCAGGTTTGTTTACTCCTACAAAAAAGAATGTCAACAGAAACCGGATTAATCGACTTTTTGGCTTAGAAAGAATCATTTTGAGGTTTGATTGATCAAGAAAGCTACCATCTTTAGCTGATAAAACTACTGCAACAACAATGTAGATCAAGCTGAGGACTGTTGAAACTCCAAGCCAGATTCCAAGAGCTGATAAATGAGGAATACCGATTGCGAAAATCGCGCAGACAACACCCGCAATAGCGATAAAATGAGGCAGTTTCATTAAACTGTCATCTCTAAAAAGTACATAAACAGCCTGCACACAAAGCAAAAGCAGAACCAAATGGCATTTCAAAAGTCAGTGAACTCTCGGATCTCAAATCCACGAATTCAAGCGGGTTGTTTCCATTTTACCTTTAAGGCGGAACCAGCAAGTATAATGTAGCCACAATTAATCATGAAAAGATTGACATATTGCAATCCCCATGTAACACGGTACATCTTTTTACCTGATCAATCAAAGCAAATACCATCTCTTTGTAAAACCGAACAAACTTAACAGAGTAAATGCAAGACAGAGAGTTGAGTTTTTTCTTTTACCGTAGATGAAGCCTGCAAGATCTCTATAACGAATGTGTCTTTTTCCACCAAACTCATGAAGCTTAGCGATAAGAGAGTTTGCGTAAAGGGAGATCGCGGTAGCGAGAATTAGACCAACCACACCACCAATCCAACCCAAAGGAACCATGACTGTCCCGGAATATCCCAACACATATGCACTGTTTATACCGGTTGTCAAAACAAATGCTACTTGAAACCATGAATCTGTTACAAAATTTGGCTCAGTACAGTTTAAAACCCTTTACACTCAAAATGCTCATGGAATGTTTTTATACTATGATATTCTCAAGAGCTATAAAACTCACAAATAATAACCCTTAAATGGATAT